GGGGGGGGGTCAGTCCTGGCTTTGTTTTATTCTCCATACTGCGAATCTCCCCTAGCTGCCTTCCTGTCTCTTCTATAGTTTTTCTGTCTTGAGGACTTGAGTCACCCTCTTATAAGGAAGAGCAATCCCAAGTCTATTTTCTGTTTTCTAGCCTCTTAATTCAGGAGCCCTGGTGGTACAGTGGTTAGAACAATCAGCTGCTAACCGAAAGGTTGGCATTTCTGGTGCTTTGAATCCACCAGCTGCTCCGGGGAAGAAAGATTTGGCAATCTGCTTTCATAAAGATTTCAACCTTAGAAATCCTACGGGACAATTCTACCCTGTCCTGCAGGGTCACTATGAGTCAGAATCGGCTGGACAGCAGTGGGTATGGGTAGCCTCTTAATTCCTGCTCTGGGCTCTAATTTCTCCTCTCCAAGCTCCACTCTCCCAAGGCTTCTTGTCCTCCACCGGAGGCATCTGGGTTGTTCTAAAGCAGCCGTCATTCATTTATCTCTCTCTACTTGCCCTGGAGCCCTGGTGGCACAGTGGTTAAGCTATAACAGCTGCTAACCAAAAGGTCGGCAGTTCAAATCCACCAGCCACTCCTTAGAAACCCTATGGGGCAGTTCTACTCTGTCGTTTAGGGTCGCTATGAGTCGGAATCAACTTGACGGCAGCAGGTGTTTTTTTGTTTTGTCTGCTTGCCTCAAGGATTGGACTGTGAGACTGTTACAACCATAGTCAAGGGAGAAAAGACAGGAGAGTGTGTTCGGTTTTGTTTGTTTGTTCTTTTCTGCTTCATCCCTGTACGGTGGTAAGTGCTCCGGCTCCATAGCATTCACTCAGCAGCTGCTTTGTTAATAGCTCTGCCATTAGCCCCTTGCTGCTAATTACTGCTGGGCTGACTAACTCCCATCCCACTCTGAGCAGTGACTGGGCTTCAGGGAGCCCAAACCTCTAACCGCCAAGGAGCATTACTGGGACTTGAGCTGTTCCAGGGAGGAGGGGAGAGGGGGCTGGCTAAGGCACCTTTCGGGGCTCAGATGAGTGGTTTCAGGGTTCTATGAAAGCAGGAGTGGGGGAGGGGGTCTACGTGATTTACTTTCTTTGCTTCTTTTTTTCTTCCTCTCTCCCTGTCTCTCTTTTTTTTTTTTTTTTTGGTATTTTGAATTAAGTCTGAAGCAGACATGTTCGTGTGTGTACCTTTCCCTT